TCACGTCCTTAAAGTTATAAAAAAAATTAGACTACAAATTATATTCTACTATATAACATAAATTATTAAATAAAAAATAAAATTTTTATATTAAATTCATAATTTTTTTTATAAATTTTAAAATAAAATTTATATAAAATTAATTATTGATATTACAATAAATAAAATTTAACCTTTACAAAACCTCTTATCCAAATACGGTGTAACTTCTTTGTATATTCAAAAATTTTAATGATTGCATTGCACGGATATTTTGTAAGGATTAATTGAAATATTTTTGTACTCATACTTGACTATTTTTTATTCGATTTTTATTAGGTAACAATACAAACGGTGACCCAATGAAGTTGATTCCGGTGTATGAATACAACAGCAATGATCAAACGTACGGATCAGAAGAGCCAGGGAGAAGATACAGAGGAGTGAGGCAGAGGCCGTGGGGGAAGTGGGCGGCAGAGATTAGAGACCCTTTCAAGGCCGCTAGAGTGTGGCTAGGCACCTTTGACACAGCTGAGGCAGCTGCCAGAGCCTACGACGAAGCCGCCTTTCGTTTCAGAGGCAACAAGGCCAAGCTCAACTTTCCCGAAAACGTCAAGCTCCGACCTCCACCTATGGCAAATCCAGTACCGACCCAGTTGACGATTTCACATTCTGACAATACCCCTTTGTCCATTCCAGTGTCCACCGAGCCTAATTCTCAATTTCAGCCTCCTTACCACCTCCAGAATCCGGATATTTCGAAGGCGTATTTTGGCTATTATGGTGAATTTCAAATGCAGCAGCAGGGGAGACTCCATGAGCAGCTAGCTTTCTCGTCTTCCTTAAGTTCCCATTCACAGTCGTCTTCTGTAGCACCGCTTTCGTCGTCTTCTTCACCACCCATGTCATACCCTCATCTTTTTCCGATTCAACCGTCTGCTCACCTCAATTTGGCTACTAGTCAAGACAGTGCAGCAGATTTTTTGGTGCATTTGTGGTCAGATTCCAGTCATCATTCTTCAACATCTAAATAGAAAGATCCGTACTGTTTTCTTGCTAGTCATAACTTTCAAATTCGCTTCTAAATAAAAAAAATTAACTTTTTTTTTTAAATTATCAATCAAAATAAATTATTTATTATTCAATGTGTGGCTTAATTGTAATAAATTCGTTTGCTACTTTTTTAATAAAAAGCTAACGGGTGATGACATTACACGTTATATAATGAGTGATTTATTTTAATTGATAATTTAAAAAATAATTTATTTTTACATATTTTTAAAAAGTGAATTTATTTCTATCATCTTATCTGAATGGTGGATTATGAGGTTTGGCCATCTTGTTATTTACCATTCGTGGTTAATTCTTTTTGGATACATTTTTCATTATTTTTAGATGGTATTGCGGATTTGTATGATTTGTTTGAGCATAGTCAATTAGCATAATAATCCCTCTTTCATTCTTATCAATGAAAGTTCATTGGAGCTAATTACTAACTATAAAATCTTAATTCCCTATTAAGGTTAAATTATGTAATTTTAAAATGCTAAGTTTTTCGATGTATTTACATTTCTTTTTCCACATTAAACAAAAGATTTAATGTGGCTCATTCATTAAACAAAATTCCCAACAAAATCTGGTGACAAAAAATTTAAAAAGAGAAGTGCTACTATATATACTGTACAGTTTACATTTCAACTAAATGTTTAATTAAAAAAATGGGATAAACTTTAATTGGACACGATTCGGATGAGATTAAGTACTTCTAATTTAAAATTGAAAATTTCGAAGCAATTGCTTGAAAGAGAGGGTTGTTCAATTCCTTGCGTCTCAAAAAAGAAATGGTACTTCGATTACGTCGCAGGTTTTTTGTCGTCAGTCAATGCTACAATCAGTCGGTGTGAACCTTTAAATTAAAAACCAACACAGGGTTTGACAACGCAATGTGCAATTAGCTTTTCATATCTTATTCCCAACTATGTCCTTTATGGTTTGTCAGTTTCAAATCCGTTAAATTCATTTTCACAGTATGCCACTTAACAACCTTTTCAAAATCCTTCAGTACATGTTTCCACTTGAAGGGACCAACTATTTTTCTTTTTACATTAGGACAGGACATTGTTTCATTATTTCAAAGGACAGTGTGTTTATCAAATTAGCTAGTTGGACTTTTGCATTACCCTTTACCAATGGAAAACACTAGCTGGTAGATTTTTGCACCAAGTTTTTCACATGCCGTCCCACACAATCGCCATCACTGTTATATTATGGCTTGTTTGAAATGGAGAGAGTTTCCCCTTCTCACTTCAACAAGTTTGAGAGTTAAGTACTTTTTCTAGTGTTTACTCACTTCTATACCCCCAATAATAACATTTTCTTTAATTTTGCCCTTCATCACTCAATTTTTAGAAGAGAACAATTTTTCCCTCAATTCTAGGAGCTAAGCAACAAATATCAACAAAGGTAATGATATACAGAGGACCATAATTTATTCGTCAATAATTTTCCTATCAAAAATTCAAAACTAATAATTAAAACTCTAGAATTTGTGGACTACCATATAATAGTAATGCTTCACCTTCACCTCTCCAACCAAGTAATAAAAGCGAATGAGGTGGAAGCCATGTAATAAGCTTCCAAATTAATTGAAAAGAAACATAATACATATATCCTTATATTTGAATCATTATCGACTAATTTATAAAAGTGACAGCCAAAATAAAAAATTTGTTTTATTTATTAAATGTTTTATTTTAATCTAACATTGCTAGAGTTTCAAAAGAAAAAAAAAACCCCCCACAACAATACTAAACGGCTTTAATAGCCGATGCCCAATGACATATGATATCCTGTTAGACATGAATGATAGGCTCAATTAACCATGGATCAATCGGAAGATTTGGGTGCTATACTGCTAGTCTTAGTCGGAGCCAACAACAACAAACCTGCTAGATGATGCTTATCACTGATTAACAGGAAAAGCGGAACATGTACGTAATGCAGAACAAATGGCCAATATGAGAATGAAACTGCTACACCTAAATTTTGAGTATAAGGACACATTTTTGGAAAGTTAAAAGAATATAACAGTAAACAGGTGTATTATGGTAGACCAAAAAAAAAAAAAAAACTGAGGGAATGATGTGAAATCTTACACAATGGCACTGAATATGAACAACAAAGATAAAGCAATGATTTCATTCCAGTGCTATAGAACAGCCTGGTTTAGTTTTCTTTGATTTGTCAGTGGTGACAAACTTTCAGTTGCAGGAAGCATACTTCTGCCCTCTACCCTGATCAACCAAAAAAGGGACCTCCAATAGAAAACCCAATAAAAGCATGGAGCACGACTCCCCAAAGATCTGTTCCCTTCCTTGCAACTCAAACCCAGCTCAACTCAGCTATTCCATGCAAATCATTTAAAACAGAAGGCAGTCACTTGAATGGAATGTGATAGTAAAATCAGTCACCTAAATAAAGAAGGATAAGGGGAGCTCCCAACATGCAATAAGCATTTCATCTTTTTTCATCAAACCTTCAGGGCAGCTTTGTGGACCATCATTTCTTTATGTATTTGGTGGCAACTCTTCTCAACAAGATCAAGAAGTTTTTCCAAGTTCACTGCCCATGAGTTGAGAATTTCATTGCTATCCTTCACTATCTGGAAACAGACTATTCCCATTGGCCTGTCAATCTTGGCTACCAGTGCCTTGGAAACAACCATTTCAGAAAGATGCTTCTCAGCTTCCTGGATCAAAACAAGAAAACAGTTTATTAAATATCAAGAAGAAACTAGTCAAGTATCTTTCATTTCATAAACATGTCTTTCATTTGTCAATCAAGGCAGGAAGCACATTTGTCAAAAATACTTCACATGAATAGAGAAACAGATGACATAAGATCACAGCATAACCAAGCACACCTGAATGGTCAAACACAACAGTTCCGCAAGTCTCTTCAATGTGATCCTTGAGTAATACTTTGAAACAACAAGGATATTCTGAAAAGAATCAAGCATTTTAGCATTCAGCAACGTGGATTAAAATAGTGAAAGAACAAACGTACAAAACAAAGAATAGGGTATATTACATGCTCAATTACTCTCTGTCTTAAATCTTCTGATGCTTTGTCACCCAAAGGACCTCCAAGCATACTCTTCTCACCCTCAAACTCACCCTTGTATGTATTCCACAGAGATGTCCACTGGATAACCTCCATTGTGACCAATTGTTTCAACAAAAACCTGTGGGAGAACATTAATCAGATGAAGTCACCAGGTTACAATTACCTAAATTTCAAGAAACATACAATAAAAGACAAACTGAGTGATCCAAGAAACAGAGCTTCGAAGACATGCACCTAAATTTCGGAATTTCAGAAATATTCTTATCCTCTAAAGTGGAATTAAGAAGGCTAGACTGCATGGGATCATGTGGTGCAAGGACTAGGTACCAACAGATTTTTCTCAGAACCTGAAGATATATAAAAGAAAACGTTATGGAAGCTCCACAGAATTTTCAAATGCACAAAAACATACAACCACAGATAGGATTTACTGGTATCCACTGGTCTGGGTTTTCTTTGACAGATGGAATCTCATATATTGCCTTGTAGCAACGGCAAATTTCCAAGTAATCGTTGCTATGAGAGTAGTACCTGGAAAGATGACAAAAGGCCAAAGTAAAATAAATCTGCCAACCATTCAAACAAACTACATGGTTCATAATATAGATACTTTGCATCTGTTGGGTCTTAACACTGCAACTGACACAGTGAACAAGTGAAGGTAAAGTCAACCTGGATATGAACCCTCAAGCATTCAACCATGAAAACAACAGCCTAAGTTCATATTAACATATCCGTACTATTTTGATCCCTGGTACTTTCTTTTATTTCTTTTCTCCTTTTTGCTTGTTAAAGATATTTTACTGCAACTTGAAAAGGGAAAACAAATCTTTTCAACCATAATAATTCATGACCCAAATGAAACTTATATATATATATATATATATATATATATCAAGAATTTCAATCCACCTCAAGCTCCTGTAAACCACTTAGCCAGCAATAAGTTCCACCAAGTTACTTGAGGCCTTTCAATAGCAACACACTAACTCATGTCAATCCATATTATCTTCTGACAGAATACCTATTAAAAAATATAGCATACCAAGATACCATTTGAATTTTTGAACATTTGATAATTATGTGCATTCAACCAATGACCATATGAAGAACAAATTTCAAGACAGACAGCATGCAGTTCCAATAATCAATCAAACCAAAGGGCCCCAAAGCCCATAAAATCCTTATCCATCAACTTTGAAACTCCCTCAACATCAAAACATAGTTATACAGATCAAGGAAGTTCAGAATACAAAGGCGCTGTAAATTCAGCATCCAATTTTTCATAGATCTTTATGGATTTATGCAGAGGTGTACAACTGCAACATGTAGTCAAAATCAGACAGAGAAACAAAGAGTTTGGCAACACAAAATATCATGATTGAGGCAAATCAATCAAGTATCTGCAAATTTTAAAGCAATAACTGAAATAAAAGGGGTAAATGCCACACAAATACCGTATCATTAGTTCATAGTAGGTCCGTTTCAACTCCAACAGAGATGGGATGTCTGCAGGAGCCTTTTCAACAACCTGGTCACCTTCTTTGGGTTTCTTCTTCTCCTTTGAAGGATCAGCATCAAAAACCCTTGGGTTAATCTTCCTTGAAAGGATCTGTGCACGGACATAATCTTTGCGAACTAAGCAAAGACGAACCTGAAAAGTTCAATTTATCAACATAATGACACATTAGAATCAAGTCACCATCAAAAAGATGCCACACTAAAGGAAATTATAGAAGTAATGATAATATTAAGAGGTCCATACTTGTTCGAGTATGAATGCAATTTTCTCAGTTTTTGCCATTGCACCAAAAGTTTCCACCTGCAGTTCAAAACAATCAAAAAGTTAGACACAAGGAGGGAACATGATAATCCATAAAAGTTACTACCAAACAATTGAGGTAACTCACTGCCACTTCCTGCATAAGATCTGCAGCTTCAGCTATGAGGCCCTGCTCTTCCTTGATCTTTGCAAGTGTCTTGATCAACCTTGCTCTCTCAATTTCAACATATATCTACAATGTGATGAAGCTTATTCAGACAAAAATCTCAAGATAATTAATTGCTCTGAGTTAGATAACAGAAAACTAACAGCACATCTTCACCTTCCCAGCAGAAACATTATTCAGAGTCTTGATTAGCTCAATACGAGTTTCAAGATCTGGTGTCTGATCAATGTATTGCATTCCCTGCTGGACCATCGAAGTAACAGCCTGTACACAATAAAAACGCCTCCATAAACAATGGTATTGATTAAAGCATATGCTCATACAAATATATTATATTTGGATAGAATGCAAAAAATCTTTGGAAACTAATATGAAATAATTTTGGTTCAATTGGCTTAGTATTATGTCAATATTTAAAAATACACATACATAAAGAAATTTTACAATCAAAATGGAACATATATCATCAACTGCAGCTGCTAACCAGACCTAATCCAAGAGCAACAATAGTCGGTTTGTACATGCATCCGCTTACAAAAAGGTGATCCAGAATCAAGTTTAACTGCATCACTAGCTATATTCCTTGTTACATGCATAAACAGACAAACAATTACATATTAACATAAGGAAAAAAATATCTAACACCTATCCCGTCTTGACCTCCACATGCTATGCATAGAAGGTGAATGAATTACAGTTATAGTTTCCTTGCTAGTTTTTATGAAATACTAAAAAGAACCGAATACCCCTCTTCCAATCCATAACATAGGCAAAAGGACTTAATGCCCGACTGAAGTTCCATTATTTGATTCACCAATTGGCAAGACAAATCTTAATAAAAACAGTTAACACCATGACCAGAGCATAGGAATCGAGTCCAAGAGGAACCTGCTTAAGCTGACCGCGTTTCTTTGACAAATTTACAATCTGCTCATTGAGAGCTTTCCAGTCTTTAGCTTCGAAGCAGAGCTGTAGAATGTCGATAACTGCCTTCGTGGTGCTGGTAACATCGCCGGCAAGTCTCATCTGCTTCTCCACATTCAGCAGCTGCTCTATCGCCGCCTCCAAATTACCTTTACCCTCCTGGGAATGCCACATGGTGTCAGAGAGGAATCAGAGAGAAATTACGAAGAATAAAGAGACGAAGCAATGAATTTAGATCAGCAGAAGTAGAAGCTTACCATGATTTTAGGAGAGTCGAAACCCTAGAAGAGAGTAAATTGAGGGATGAAAATGGAGTTTCAGGAGAAAAAGAGTCTGCAGAACGTTGCAGGGAGAACAGAATTCAACACTGTAAAGCGAAAAACCCCTTTTACAAGAAAGGGCGATGCTCTTCCAAGTCTAACAATCCCACCTCCTCTAAGATATTTACCCAATGACAAGCGGCCCAATTAAGCCCATAAGCCCGTTAATAGTAATTTTTAAACTTAAAACAATTAAGAGTTTTAAAAAAATTAATTAACTCCCTAAGTAATTTAGTGTTAATAAAAAATCTTAAATTCAAGTGACATAATATGAAAATGAATTAAAGGATGAAAAATAATTATTTTTTATTATATAATTTAAGAAAAAAATAAAAATTTATAAGAATTTATTGTTTTTTTTATAAAAATTACACTTTATTATAAAATAAAAATAATTAAATAGAGAATAATCCTTAACATAGGGAGTCTGCACCGTAAGGAGGCCACCTCCACCAGACCATTGGGAACATCTCCAATATAGGGACTAAACTCAGGTAACAACTGCCCCATACGTACCCACCATGAATTATAAACATCCAATGTTCCTAGTTTTGACGAGTTAGAGATACTATGGACATTTTATATCTTCTGTATTAGAAACATCCAATATTCCTAACCTCGATGAGTTAGAGAGGGTATGGAGGAGGTACTAATATTACTAGTGATGGACATATTGAAATATAAGTTGCAGTTTCCAATTTTTTGTACATTCTTTCAAGAAGTCCTAATTTGTTCCTGATTTGTCCTAATTCTTTCAAGGATTCTTTGGTTAGCTTTGTTCATCATTTGGGTTATAGCCCCAGGTTTTAAGCTTTTGTGTGATGAATTTGGAGGAAGCCTTGTTTAAGTGTATGTATT